ACTCTTCTTGGCAGTTGTGGAAGATGACAGGGTCCATGGTATAACATAAGTACCCAGTCACCCCGAGTCCAGGGGTGATGATGCCTATGGTGGCATCCTAGGCAAATGGTTGATTTTTGTTTTGTTTTGTCACATGTCTATTTAATTTTACACAGAGAAATTACGCAAAACAATAAAATCTAATAGGAATTAAGTAACTTTTAAAAATGTACTTTTTGATTTCAGAGAAGGGAGAGGGAGAGAGAAACATCAACGATGAGAGAGAATTATTGATCAGCTACTTCCTGCACACCCCTACTGGGATCGAGCCTGCGGGTGCCCTGACTGGTAATTGAACTGTGACCTCCTGGTCAACCATCAAGGTCAAACTCCTGTTTTGCCTTTACCAGGTGGTTGAGGGGTTGACGCTCAACCACCAAGCCACAATGGCTGGGCAGAATTCAGTAATTTTTAAATAACTGATGTATAGAGCTATAACTTATACCATACAACCAATCTATTCCAAGTGTACAATTCATTGGTTTTTAGTATACTCACATGATTGTGCAATCATTACCAAAATCAAGTATAGAACATTTTTTATTACCCTTTACTCCCCAAACCCTGTATCCATTAGCAGTCATTTCCCTCTCCCCTTGCTCTCTCCAGGCAACACAAATCTACTTTTTGCTCCTATAGATGGCAAATTGTTCCTAAACCAGGACTTCCCTTGGGAGAAGATTCCTATTTTAGGCTTGCATTAGTTACCTATTGCTACAGAACAAACTACCCCAAAATTAGCAGCTTAAAACAACATGCATTTATTTTCTCACAGTTTTTAGTTCAGGTGCAGCTGAACTGGGTCCTCTGCTTTTAGATGCTTCTCATGAGGCATCATGTGTTGGTCAAGGGTCTTACCTGAAGGCTCAATTGGGGAAGGATCTGCTTTCACTCTCACTTACCTTGTTGCTGGCAGGACTCGGCTCCTTGTGGATTGTTGGACCGAGGGCCGCATTTCCTTGCTGGTTGCTGAGTGGAGGCCACCCTCAGCTCCTTAGCCAACGTGAGAATTTGCTAGGATTTATGATGGGGTTATGACCTGATAAATTCTCCATAAGTTGAAAATGAGTGTAATACACTTAATCTACTGAACATCGTAGCTTAGCCTAGCCTACCTTAAATGTGCTCAGAGAACTTACATTAGCCTGAAGTTGGGCAAATATTCTGAGTTTCATCTAAAGAGTAATTGCCTTTCTCTTCTCACCAGAAGCAGGGGACACAGATAGGCATTTTGTACACTTAATGGGATACAAAAACAAAAACAAAATCCAAAAACTACTGGCAACGCTATATTATGGTCACGGGGCTGGCTGGGAGCTGCGGCTCACTGCCACTGCCCAGCACCACGAGAGAGTATTGTTCTGTATATCACTAGTCCAAGAAAGGTTTAAAATTCAAAATTTGAAGTACAGTTTCTACTGGATGCATATCGCTTTTGCACCATCATAAGGTCTAAAAATTATTAAGTAGAACCATCTTCAGTCAGAGACCATCTGTACTTGCCCACCATTCTGCAATTTTGTGAATCTGGTTTCTATTGATCTAGTTCCTTTATCTGTGAGCTATTAGCACTGCTAATTACTCCTTCTTTTTTTTCAAAGTTGTGTCTGAATACTTTACTACCTCAGAGCCAGCTAGCCAGCATACATCAAAAACTAGTTTAGATGTTAATCTCCACAAAGATCATAGAAGAGAGGTTAGGAACCCTCAAATTAGCCTTATCAAAATTGTTAATGGAACAGCCCATAAATTCTCCTATCTAACCCAGGGTTTTTGCAGTTTATCCTCACTTTGGCTATGACCAGAAGGTTGTATGCGTTCTTTCTTAAAGGTTCTACAGAATTTTAGTATCAGACATCCAGTGCCAACTAGCTTAAACAAGAAAAGGGAATTTGTGGTCTCACATAACTAGGAGAACTACTGGGGTGGCTCACAGGATCAGAAGAAGAACTATAGAGCTCCAGGGCCTGCAACCAGTGGCTCCGTGTGGGTAGTTCTCTCTGAAGCTCTTGTTAACATCTCATCATCTTTGTGTCTCTCTTTCTTGGCCTCATTCTTCACTATTGTAATCATGCCTCCGTATGTGACTTTTAGTTTTTCAGCCAGAAGAGAAAGAAGGGTTGGGTCTGGTCTTTAGTCCCAATGCCAGGAAGATGGGATACTATGCTAGGCCAGGCCTGGGCCACATGGCCATATTCCTGTGGTCAGAAGAAGGACCATGAAAAAAAACTGCTCAGTACAGGCTCTGGCTCAAGCCCATTGTCAGTGCCCCCTACCCCAGGCATAGACAGATCAACCTTGTAAGTGATCCGTGAAATATTCAAAATCCCAGAAAAGGAGAAGACAGTGCCATAGGCTATGGTAAGGCCCTGCCTGGGAACTGTGGCTTGGGGGAATTCTGTTTTGGGTTTTCACGGAGTCTTCATTGCACCCAAGGTCCACTGTCTTACCTATTGGTAAAATAGAGTCACACTGAATTTTTCCAGTATTGATTGTACTTGTTCCCTAACCACTTGACAGTTGAAAAAAAATTATTGATGGGGATGTGAAGGCCAGGGATGAATGGAAAATAGCTGCCCCAAGGTGGGGGGAGTGAGGGCATGTGCCGGGGGGGTAGGGGAGGCAGGGGGGGAGGTCAGTGGGGAAAAAAAAGGAGACATATGCACTACTATATGTAATACTTTAAACAATAAAATAAAAAAAATAAAAAAGAAAGAAAATAGCTGCCCATTTCATGGGCTTATGACCAAGGTTAAACTATATTAACAAAAGAGGCCAGAGACTGGCCAGCACTGATCAGTGGTTGAGGGTCGACTTATGAACCAGGATGTCACAGTTCGATTCCTGGTCAGGCACATGCCTGGGTTGCGGGCTCAATCCCCAGTGGGGGGCGTGCAGGAGACAGCCGATCAATGATTCTCTCTCATCATTGACGTTTCTATCTCTCTCTCCCTCTCCCTTCTTCTTGTATAGTTATAAAGCACCTCTATTATTGGAATTTTTTTCCAACATAAAATATTTTAAAAAGAGGCCAGAACTTTTTATTTACTACTACTCTCTGTGATTTATGGGCATATTGTTGACTTTTGTTTTTAACCTTTCAAGTAAGGAATATTTGACAAGTTTATGAAATTCACATGTATTCAGAGACTCATTAATCTTAGTGCCAGGGTAAGGCTTGTTTTTAGACCCATGGGATCTTGGATCTTGATCTTGGATTGAGATCAAGATCAGTCAGACTTGACTTTTCGAAGAAGTAATGTTGTGCTCCCTTTATTTTTATTTTTTAAATATATTTTATTGATTTTTTACAGAGAGGAAGGGATAGGGATAGTCAGAAACATCAATGAGAGAGAAACATCGATCAGCTGCCTCCTGCACACTCCTTACTGGGTATGTGCCTGCAACCAAGGTACATGCCCTTGCCCGGAATCGAACCTGGGACTCTTGAGTCCGCAGGTTGACGCTCTATCCACTGAGCCAAACCGGTCAGGGCTGTTGTGCTCCCTTTAAATATGTATATTGACACTGGAGTAATCCTAGTAATTCTTTCAAGGAAGTACTACAGTGGGGTCTCTGTAGGGAACTCCTCCCGGTCTAGGACCCTTCACAGTTGCTTGGGGATGTACTCACAGCTGATCACTTGTTCTTTGGTGGTTCTTTATGGAGGGCCCTGACTGTGCTAAGTGATAGAAGCAATTGTGTAGGATAATCTGCCTGATCCTACATACCTAGAGCTGGTTTAGGGTTTTGCCCCAAGTAAGGAAACAGCTCACTTCTAAATTTAGATTGGGATCCAGTATTAAGGATGGCAGTGTAGAGAAGATAAAACCTACTTGATATCTCCCAGAAGCCAAGGGGCATGTAGAGGGTGGGAACTTGGTTCTTGGTTCAGACAAACTTGGGTTTGACGCTTAGCAAAGACACCCCCTAGCTTTGTGACATTGGGAAATTCGTTCACTTCTGTTTTCTCATCTATAAAAAGGGGCTGATACAAACCCAAAGGGATTGTTTGATGTGTTTTAATAACAATCCAAGGAAGACATTTAGCACTGTATGGGCACATTGCTTGAAAATCACTGTGAAAATTGTAATAACCTTGGGAATCATGATTTTTTGGTCCCTGCGTGTCCTCTTTCCATCATGCACTTATGACCTCTCCCAAGTCTCCATACACAGAGCAAACCACCACTACCACCTGGGGGCGGGGCATGAGGTCTTCAGCAGAGACTTTAGAACCAGGGTGACATGCAGGATTCAATTCTCAGAGATCCAGTTCCTCAACTGCAAAGTGAGACAATAACACAGGTTGTGAGGGTTAGAGATAATAATGAGCTCCACTATAGGTTGGCTTTTTAAAAATTCCTTATCTGGCCATCTCTGTGAGCCCAGGCCATGGTGGCAGTTTAAGCGAGGATCTCTAGAAGACAAACCTTAGCTGTCCCTGATGTCAGTGTTTTCCTACTAGCCCTGAGCCAGACTTCATTGCTTTTAGTTCTGGCCTGCATGATTTCCTTCAAACCAAGGTCGCTGGAGCCATGATAATGGGCACTGACACTTGGAAATATGCTCTTCAGATAACTCATCCTGGCACGATTGCCAATTAAGAGGCAACATAGAGATCACTCTCAGCCCTACCGAGGGTGGATGTGTAAGACTGAACTACAAATGCACACTAATATGGTTGTGATTTTGCATCAAGACTGGCAAGAGACATTAGCAAAGAAAAGATTTGTTTGGTATAGAAAAAATGATGTTCAAAGGTCAAAGTTTCTTGAGGAAGGTTCTCTTTGCTTCTGTCTGGTACCGGAAAGCTACAAATCAATACAACGTCTGCGTTTGCCCAGGTTATTCATTCTTCGCACCACTGCACATGAGATCCTGTTCAGGAGAAGAAAAGCATGGGGATGTTTGAAAGCTCTGTGCCATCTGCTGACATTCTCCCTGCTTGTGCCTTGCAGCCTACTTCTGCTTCCTCCTGACTGCTCTGGGTGTGACAGCTGGTGCCCATCGCTTGTGGAGCCACAGGTCCTACAAGGCCAAGCTGCCTCTGAGAATATTTCTGGCTGCCGCCAACTCCATGGCTTTCCAGGTAGGGATGGTGCACATTCCTCCACACACATTCTAGACTCGGTGCTCTAGCCCCAAGCACTCCCTGCCTCTCCCGAGTTTTAGCTCCTTGGAGCTTTACATACTGTAAAATGTCACCTGGGGACTGCGTGGCTCAAGACATGCTGAACCACAGAGGAGGAAGGAGATACCTCCCTCCAGAGTCCAAGCCCTCCATATGCCCTGAAACCCTCTATTTTTGTCCAGTTCTAATGAGAGCCAAGTTCTGTGCTGAGTATGCTATGTACATATTGCATTTGATCCTCCCAGTAACCCCATGCATTAGGTGCTGTGTGTTCCTGTTTTACAGATGAGGAAACTAAGGCTTAATGAAGTTAAAGAACGAATCTCAGGGAAGGTGGGGGAGGGTGGATGGGTGGGAAGTAATCAATCAAAGACCTTGTATGCATATATGCAGAACCCATGGACACAGACAATAGGGTGCTGAAGGCCTGGGGTGGGGGGTGGGGGTGGGGGGCAAGGGGCAGGTTGGACGGGGTCAATGGGGGGGGGGAAAGGGGACATATGTAATACTTTCAACAATAAAGAATTATTTAAAAAACCAAAAAGAACGTAGCCAAATTATATGACTAAAAAATGGAACATCTAGAGTAAGCAAATTCAGGTCTGATACAAAGCCATTACTCCTACAAAACATACTTTTGAGGTCCCCCTCTAAGTTTGTAGTGGAAAGTCTATTCAGTATGGAGTCAGAAGACTCAGGATTTGAGTCTGCTGGTTACTAGTTGTGCATAACTTACTCATCTCCAGTTTCTTCATCCGTAAAAATATGAATGTGACTTCACTCCCAGAGCTGTTACGAAACCATTGAAAATTTCAAGGAGCTATAACAATGTAAGAGAGCGTCACACTACCCTGGGATTGGGCCATCATTCTCAGGACTGTTCCAGTCCTAGGCTGTTTCCCACCAGCTGGGTCACTTTCTGAGCTCCTGGAAGTTTGGATGGATCATGGATCTCTGTTTTCCAGTTCCTCCTCTGATCCAGGCAGGGTGAGTGGGAACAACTTGTTCTCAAAGTCTCTGCCCATATATGAGTGCAGGTGATTCCAGACCCATTGAATTTTCACCCATTGGGAAGAAATGGCAATTCCCCAAACTGCGTTAGGATCCAAGGAAGCAAATGACCCAGAAGCCTCTCTGTGACTTCAGACATGCACGTCGCATGGCCCCCTCTGCAATGGGCCTCCCATCCCTGTAAGACAGCATTTCTCTGCATTGCTCTTGTGTCTAAGATTCTGAATCCCTATTTAAGGCTTCCCTCCTACAGTTGGAGCATTCGTAAAGCAAATAGGATCTAACACAATAGATCGCTTAGGGAGCACAATTCGTATTCTGAACACCTACTGATTATAATTCAAGCACAGTCGGGAATTAGAACCGCGGTTCTCGGGTAGAAGCTGTTGGGCACAAAGGAGTGGTTGGCAGCTTCTTGGTTTTATGTTTTGTTCACCTCTGGCATTGTGAACTGCGCTGCACTTTGTTTTGACTTCAACCATCTTAGTTCAGTGTTGTGCTTTTTCATCGTAACAGTGAGTTATAATAATAATAATTTAGAAACTCATTGACTCAGGTCTTAGATGCTATTTAGGACTTAACTCAGTAATTTTCATTTATTTTGTTTAAGCAGCTTATTATTTTTAGCCTCCAATTATACACTTGTATAAAGCACCTCTGTTATTGGATTTTTCCCCCAACATAAATAACTTGAAGTTGAGAGCCTAAACCTCTTTCCCACTGAAACTATTTGTTTGTAACTCAGTTTTTTAGAACCTAAGTTTCCTTAATAAAATGTCCCATAATGGAACATCACACGGTGATTTTAAATTTACTTTGGGGAGAAAGTTCATTGTAAGCCCAGGTTCTGGAATAAGTTCTCAGCTCTGCCATTTGCTATATGTGGGCCTTTGTACAGGTCTCTGTTTCTTTAAATGCATCGGGAGCAGGGTAATAATACCTACCTCACAGAGTTGTTGGGAGGATGGAATAATGAACAAAAAATGCCCAGATTATAGTAGCACTCAGAGAATATCCTTACTCCTCTTCTTTATTAGAATTGGCACACCATCTCATTCATTTCTGTATTTTAGTGCCTATCATATGGAAAACCCTCAATGATTGTTTGTTAAATGAATGAGTAGTTTTTAAAAATATTTTTAGAAATCATCAAATTGGAACTATGCCTACATGTCTCAGGGCCACATTTGTGGTGGATTTATTTATTTATTTAACAGATGTTTATTGAGCACCTACTATGTGGCAGCCACTGAGCTAAGCCACAGTGGGTTTAATGATTAGCAAACACACGGTCCTTGCCTTCATGGAACCTTCTATCTAGTGGGATATTAGAATTTCCATAGTTTCCCAGTGGAAATGTCAGTGCTCCATGGGTCTGGGGTTTTATAACAATGTCACTTAGACCAAGTGAGAGGTACTTGTAAGATTAGCAAAGGGCCAGCTCCCATACAATGCATAACTGTATCAGAGGAAAAAAATGCAGTCGATCCACACCATTTAACCATAGGAACAAAACCACCTGGGAAAGTAAAAAATGTGCTGTGATCTGCCTATAGCCCTGACTTAGTGCAGAGTCATTGATTTAGTTTCCCTTTGATGTCCCCCTAGATTTTTAAAGATAGTTTCAAGGGTTCTCTTATGCTTTCTTCCATCAAAATGGTCATGCTGTTGGCCAAAATGGACAAATGCAATGGTCATTTTTGAGGATCAGCAGGGCTTTTTCTAGATGCTACACACAAGATTTTGATCATCAAAAACAATCTTCTTAAAATTGTGACTTAGACATTTGAAATTCCCTTTTCTCTTTCTTTTGTACAGAATGTATGTACTGGGCAGGGGGCTCAAGTGAGAAAGGTGGAGGTACTTCTGGTCTGAAAAGATGTCTTTCCACTGTTGTCTTGGGTTTTCCTAGAGCAGCGGTTCTCAACCTGTGGGTCGAGACCCCTTTGGGGGTCGAAGGACCCTTTCACAGGGGTCACCTAAGACCATCGGAAAACACATATATAATTACATATTGTTTTTGTGATTAATCACGATGCTTTAATTATGTTCAATTTGTAACAATGAAATTGGGGGTCACCACAACATGAGGAACTATATTAAAGGGTCGTGGCATTAGGAAGGTTGAGAACCACTGTCCTAGAGACTTCTTCTTAAATAGAGATTAAGGCCTTCAGTTCTTTCATTTGAAATCCTGTTATCATACAGGAGCCCTGTTGACGTGGAGATAAGGGGAAGCCTCCTGTAGCCCTATGATTGGGTTTCAGTTGTGGTGATGAGCCTGAGTTGAGTATTTCCCTCCCCACGGTCAGTCAGGCTTTGGTAAAACCCAGTTGAGTGGGCTCTGGTAAAATAGTTTCTCTTGAGAACAGACCTCACTAAGGAAAATAGAGAGCTCTGTGCAGAGCTGACATTTCAAAGCGGTTACTTTTCTCCTTTTCCTGCTAGAAGAGCAAGGGAATTTTTCCAGCTATTCATGGTGAGAACCTGGTAGGGCCCCTGGAGGTAAAATTCATGAACATGTGGAGCCCCTTAGGACTGAGCCCTCTAGGAGTTTTAAATTATCAATAAGCCCCCAGTAATCCATCAATTACACTTTAAGGTATTCCTACCCATTCTGGCTTTTGCTCCTGGGCGTCTGCTTCCAGTAGGCTGTGATTCTCTGTAGCTGCCTGTTTGTCTCTCTAGTTTTGGGAGCAGCAGTTTATCTGTGATCTCAATTCTCTGATGGATCTAAGAATTGTTGCTTTTCAGTTTGTTTGGCTTTTTTTTTCTTGTTGCAAGGATAGGAGTGACTACTTCCAAGCTCTCTGCAGGTCAGACCAGAAAGTGGAAGTTACAGTGTGATTTGTGAATATGTCAAGTGAATCACATGGTCATGGGCCATGGACTTTGGCAGGAATATAACAACAAAAACAACAAGTTTTGAGTGCTAACCACACGCCAACATTTCATGAAGTACATTAGCCATCTGACAATACCCCTACGAAGTAGATATTGTATTGTCCTCATTCAATAGGAGATAAAATGAAGACAGAAAGAGGCCATGTAACCTGACCAAGGACATACAGATTTGATGACAGAAGGGGGATCCAAGTGCAGATGGCTTGACTCGAGAGGTCACTTCTCACTGCTGCTCTAAGGCCTCTCCCAGGGTCCAGGTGTACCTGTACCCTTTCATTTTGCAAATACACGTGGGCTAAGCATTGTTCCCTGCAGTGGAGAACAAGACGGGTGAGGTGTCTGTCCTCAGAACGTGTATCTTACAGTGGGAGAGAGGAGCAAATAAATACGTAAGCAGAAGAATATGAAGAATTTCAACACGGCAGTGTGACAGAGTGACAGGGAGGCAGCTTCTTTGGAGAGGATGGTCCGAGAAGACCTCGCTGAGAGGTGACAGTAGAGCTGAGACCTGAGGGAGGGAACGGGTAGGGGGAGAGCATTCCAGACCGAAGGAGGAACCAAAGCAAAGTGGGAACAAGTATAGTGCGTCCAACGAAGAGAAGAATGGCCATTATGGCTGGTTCACGTGAGTGCAGGAGAGGGTCTTAGAAGAGGTCAGAGAGGGGGACAGGGGCCACCCCAGTGCAGGGCTCTGTTGGGCATAGCAAGGAGGTTGGATATTGTTGTAAAAGCCATGGAAAAGCACTGCAAGGTTTTAGGGGTGTGACATGGCCTAATGTATTTCCATGGCACAAGGAGGACTCAGACCATGTGGGTCATGTGGGTCATGTGGGTCATGAGAGCCCACAGACGTTTGCGCCAGATCAGGATCATAGACAGCCCCACGCTGGGTCTCTGTGGGTGTGCACATCGAGGAGGGAAACTTGGTGATGATGAGGCGAGGCTCTGGAGGACGGCTGGTGTTCGCAGCAGTGGGAGCAGTTGGTTAGGAGGATAAAAACCTGGGCAGAACACTACTGCCGGCTCGAGAACCCTGAACCTTA